CAGTCTGGTAAAAACTTGAACTTTTATCTCCATACTTTCTGGGCCGGCAAAAATCAAGGTTTTGGACGATTGATATGAAACTTTCCGCATTTTTCAACTCAAGAATCGCCTAACGATGGTGAAAATTTTAACTTGTTATTTACATTAGTTTAAAAGATGCGAATTTTTAAATGAGGAAGTGCAATTTGGCAAAAACTTGCACTTTTATGTCCATATTTTCTGGTCCGGCAAAAATCAAGATTTTGGACGATTGATATTCTTTTTGGTTCCTCTACCTTCTCACGCGCCTAACTTCCAAACCCGATCAATTTCTAACACAAGTTTGTCTGAGCCCCACCTATTTTATTCAGCAAAATATATTATTTGTTCTAAACTTCCTAAACTGATTTTTTTTTTAACAAACAAGGCTTGCTCTCCTTTAACGCATTTGACCAAAATAAACATGGACGTTTGGATGGAAAAGCTGCTGTAAGCTGTATATTCATCAGTATCACTGTATATTCATCATATTTTTGGAAGGAAAGTGATTGGAATGCAAATTTTTCAACTGGGAATAATGGTCATCAATTGTTTATTTTTATCGTCATCAATTGTTTAGTTAATTTATTCGGCAATAATTCAGTGACCAGACAAGAGGTTCTTGATTGAGAACATTTATTAACTTGCAGTTTACGATGGGAAAAATGTCTTCCTTCTAAGCGAATCTAACTGGTCGGGAAATTTTTCATGGCTGAAGCACAATAAGGTCGGAATCAACAGAAAACTAAATTTTCATTCCAATAAAATATACGAAACTCTCCTTGCCAACATGCATATAAACTAGTGAGTAACTTTTGTTACATTTTCAGTTACACAAGACCAAAGATTCTTATAACTGGTAAAGTTTTCCAGATTAGTTCCCAAACATAAATTAGTTCTACATGTACGCAAATGCAATTTTTCATCTAAAAATTCGCATCTCCAAGTTGCGCTGAGCAGCAAGTTAAAATTTCCCCATGTTCAGCATACACTAAATATGCGGAAAGTTTCTAGAAAATCCCCAAAATCCCCAAAAACCAATTGCAGTTTTTCCAAGACATTTGATCCTAAAAAAGCAGAAAGTTTCATGTGAACGCCTGAAATCTGATTTTTGCCGGCCCAGAAAATATGGAGATAAAAGTGCAAGTTTTTAGGAAACTGCGCTTCCTCGTTTAAAAATTCGCATCTTCCAAACTAATGTAAGTAACAACTTGAAATTTCCATCATCGTTAGGCTATACGTGAGTGGAAAAATGCTGAAAGTTTCATATCAATCGTCCAAAATCTTCATTTTTGCCGGCCCAGAAAATATGGAGATGCAAGTGCAAGTTTTTACCAAAATGCGCTTCCTCATTTGAAAATTCGCATCTTCCAAACTAATGTAAGTAACAACATGAAATTTCCATCATCGTTAGGCTGTATGTGAGTGGAAAATGCTGAAAGTTTCATATCAATCGTCCAAAATCTTCATTTTTGCCGGCCCAGAAAATTTGGAGATGAAAGTGCAAGTTAGTACCAAACAGCGCTTCCTCATTTAAAAATTTGCAGCTTCCAAAGTAATGTAAGTAAGAACTTGAAATTTTCCCCATCGTTAGGCGATACTTGAGTGGAAAAATGCTGAAAGTTTCATATGAATCGTCCAAAATCTTGATTGTTGCCGGCCCAGAAAATATGGAGATGAAAGTGCTAGTTTTTACCAAACTGCACTTCCTCATTTAAAAATTCGCGTCTTCCAAACTAATGTAAGTAAAAACTTGAAATTTTCCCCATCGTTAGGCGATACTTTAGTGGAAAAATGCTGAAAGTTTCATATCAATCGTGCAGAATCTTGATTTTTGCCAGCTCAGAAAGTATGGAGATAAAAGTGCTAGTTTTTACCAAACTGAGCTCCCGCACTTATCAACCTGAAACAAGTGGCGATTTAAATATTTCACACTCTTTGCAACAAATCTGAGCTGCAGACTCAACAATCATAAATAACATTCCTAAAATACAAATGAGTTTCTAGAAACCATTCCAGACAGACATTCGGCAACTTTTTGAACCGTTGCTGGTATTGTTAAGGTTTAGTCGGTTAATAAATCTACTTCCAACCGAATAATTCCTCATCCTTATCAAGCCCTAAACAAAGAACTTAACTTCCATTACTTCAGCACTTTGTACAATCGAAAAGGCTCCGACTGACTGGAGAAACTGAAAGATCAAGTTCAAAGTCAGCGGATTACGCGGCATTTGCCCTCTGAACTACACACTAGTGGTTATTAAGCCTTAAATTGCAAGATTTCTCAGATTGTCTCATTAAAGGCCGAGCATTATGGTTGCAAAACTTGGAATCAGTTTCAGCTTTAATAAAAAGCCCCACATTTAGAAACTTGTAGTTTCCTGCTGTTGCCTACATACCAAGTAGCTTGAGCGGGCGAAAAATAATTGGCTAATTTTCCCGGCAGACTCGCCTTTGCCAAGTTAAACTTTGCAAATGCTCAAACTTGCTGATTGCTGAATGTAAACTGAGCTTATGCCATGTTTACAGGAAAATTGGCGCTTTATGCTTTATGATATCAGATTTGTTGGGAAGTACCATTGATTGTCTTCAAATGTACTCCCCAAAGCTCAAACACCTACTTCATAATTAAATTTTCACTCACTAAATTTTATTGTTCTCAGCATCATTGTCTGCTACATTGTAATTTATTGATAGTAACTTTTTAATGCAGGCAATTTCCCTGCAGATAAATGCACCCAGCTTCTAGATGGGCGTCTAGTTAAGAGGGATGATTTAATGTACTCTAGAGGCGCGCTAAGGAGTCTTAAAGCCTACAGCAAAATTAACAAAACGTATTAAAAACAGTGAATTTTATTTTAAAACGATTGACTAGTTGAAGCTGAAACACAAGTATCGCCTGACGATGGTGAAAATTTCAAGTTCTTACTTACATTAGTTCGGTAGATGCGCATTTTTAAATGAGGAAGCGCAGTTTGGTAGAAACTTGCACTTTCATCTCCATATTTTCTGGGCCGGCAAAAATCAAGATTTTGCACGATTGATATGAAACTTTCAGCATTTGTGGACTCAAGTATCGCCTAACGACGGTGAAAATTTCAAGTTGTTACTTATATTAGTTTAAAAGATGCGAATTTTTAAATGAGGAAGCGCAGTCTGGTAAATACTTGCACTTTCATCTCCATACTTTCTGGGCCGGCAAAAATCAAGGTTTTAGACGATTGATATGAAACTTTCCGCATTTTTCCCCTCACGAATCGCCTAACGATGATAGTTAAATTTTACGATGCAAACAAGTTGATCCAGCAGATGCTAGTTTAGAAAGAGTTTTTCTGAAAAAAATTGCTGTCTTCCGAAGTGAAGCAGATAAAAATCTGAAATTTTGAACTTCTTTAGTCGACAGTTGGTTCTATAAATGGGCAAAATTTGACAAAAAGCAAGAATCAATTTGAAATTTTTACAATATTTAGAAAAAATGTGTCTCTAAATCCTGAAAATTTTTTTGGAAGCAAACGACTGATTTCTACCAACTTAGTAAAGCGGGCTCAAAATACATGTTTAAGCAAAAGTGCGCTCTCTCGTTTAAAAATGCGCATCTTCCAAACTAAATCGCGTAACAATTTGATCTTTTCACTACTTTTACCAAAGAGTCCACTCTGTAGTTGCCGAGAGTTTCATAAAAATTTCCCAGAAAATTAATTTTTTCCAGCTTAATAAATATTGGGTTCAAAATGGATTGTACTTCGCAACTGTGCTCTCCCATTTAAAAACTCCTGGCTGCCAAAATAAAGCAGGTAGCGACTTGAAATGTTGAAGATCTTGAGAAGAGGCTCCACTGTAAAGACGTTGAAAATTTCATAAAAATGTCTTGAAATTCTGATTTTTACCAGCTTGGCAAAAATTCACATCTTTCAAACTATTGCAAGTACCTAATAATTGGAAATTTTCCCAATCTTTCAAAGACATTTGAGTCTAAAGTTTCATAAAATTCACCAATAATCCTGATGAAAAAAAGTCTGTTGTTAAAGCAACAAATCAGTTAGCTTTTGAGGCAAATTAACACTTTCAAATTTAACATTATTTGGAAATCGCCCGAGAAAATTTCACTTTTGTGAAACTTCTACAGTAAAGCATAAAATCGTTGATTTTCAGATACTGTGGTAGAAAGAAACTGTCCAGAATGTACTTCTTCATCTTGCACCTATCGATCGCCGACCTCATAGTGGCTTTCTTCAGTGTTCTTCCCCAACTGGCATGGGAAGTAACTTATCGATTCCACGGGGGTTTTGTGCTTTGCAAACTAGTCAAGGTGAGTACATTTATCAGCATTTAGGTGAAACTTCAAGAAAATGGACAATTTAGATGCCTAAAAGGCACAGGAAAAAACCGAGGATAAGAACTTTTTGAGTCTTCTGAAAAAGTATTTTCTGAAAGTTCCACACACACGCGCACAATTATCAAGAAAACTCTTTTCCACTCTTCCCCAAAAGAGAACAGAAAAACATTGTTTGTCAAACGATCTTCGAGCTGTTGCTCTTGATCCAAAATTTTTCCATTTCTACCGAACCGAACCTGAACCGAACCGAAATTCTACCGAAAGACGATAATTTATTCCTGACGTTTCGCAAGCACGAGTGGCTTGCATCTTCAGAAGTGGTTTGCTTGAACGCTTACACTGTTCTCATCAGAACCCGCGTTCA